ATCAAACCAACATCTACCAAATATCTTTAACACAACAAGAACATGCTTAGACCATCACAAGCGTCAACATTTGTAGCTTGGTGCCTAGTTTGGGCAAAGGGTTGAAGTTAAAATGTGAGAGGTTTGAATTTTCCTAAAATGATGCTCAGTCAGTTCCCTGCCAAGCACAGAAACACTGGAGGTCTGTTTATTGTTTCCCTTCCCTGTCTCTTCTTTTAAAATCTTGTAAAGACTTCAAACATGTTCATAATTTTTTTCATGTCCACGCCAGAGAAAATCCCACAAACACAGAAAGAGAAGGCATAGTCTGCTGCTACTCCCTGTTATTACCACCTGGCATCACCCACTTAGGTATTCTGAGGTAAAGCAGTAATAGGAATCAGGAAGTCCATTTTAGCTGGCATTTAGATTATCCTTTCTAATCAGGAGTTGCAATGCCTCACAGCTATAGTAAATTACACTTGTTTTTCTTTCCAGGAAGGATCTCTTATGAAATTGAAGAGTATTTTAAAGAAGCCCCAAACAAACTTCAAACCCAAAACAGAGAACGTGGGATTCTGCTCTTGTGTTAGTCCTACACTGTCGTTCCATTGATCTCTGTGGAATTGCTACCCATTTACACCATTGTGAGAGCAGACTCTGACCCACTTAGTCAAGTTTAGACCTGGTATCAGCTTGTACAACTCCATGAATGTGGCCTATAAAGTCATCTTTTAATACACTCGTATGGGTATAAACAAGTCAGAACACTTTTCAAGGAGAAAATATTATTCAGACCTGTGCAGCCAGTGAAAACACAGCCTTAGGCTGACACTGTAATGGGAAGAACTTTGGAAATTTCTGCAGCAGCTAGTGGTTGAGCACATAAAAACACTCCACCTTACTGCCTCCAGCTATAGAAAATATGCAGAGTGTGCAGTGTGCTTTATGTGTCAGGATAAATCATATGGCTTTCCATAAGACCTACTGATCTCAGAAAATTAGAACAGGGGTTAACCTATGCATGGATTTGGACTTGCTGCTCAGTATGTTGAATAACATCAGCATCACCCATCAACAAGACTTATGGGGAAGATCCTAGCTTTTCTGCCTTGCAACTGGTTTCAAAATAGGCTTTGTAATGATGCAGGAACTTTTAGAATGCAGAATCCATGACATTCAATCTGGGTCCTCTAAATCCTGGGTCTAGATTATTTATTATTTATGCCCTACATATCTCACAAACATTAACTGTTTTGCTACTATGGACTATATAAGCTCTTATGGTGATGCTCTTGTGCAATCAGTGCCAGTGTTTGAATGTTAGTGTTTTCTTAGGAATGTAAGATTAACAAGCGATCATGTCATACAGTGCTCTGAACATGTACAGTCAGATTCTGGGGTAAACTGGTATACATTGGAGAGAGAAGAGTCAGATGGCACTTAATGTATTAAAGTGCCAAGGAACAGAGGAAACTAAATTGGAGGTACATATGGTCCTTTGCTCTTTAGGCAACAAAGCATCCCTGAAGAGGTTCAAGGGACAATATCATATTCTGCAATTAGACCTCAAAATTGTTATAATCTGGTGAAGAATGTCCTGCAAATTCACTTCATTCCTCTCTCTTGTTTTGCTTAAACAAAATAATTCTGCTTATGAAATAAAAAATAAAATTAAACAATAGCCACTATTAATTCATAATTTAGCATATTGTAATAAGATGGCTAGTTTTGTATATGTTGCAGTGCCTCTACTGGATGCAACTAGAAGTGTTCTACAATGTGCCATAAACCCTATAATACCGGTAAGAGATCATGAAGAGTCTCCTCTAACTCAAGTAATAGGAACATGTTCTTTTCAAGCAGGAAGATTTTGGTTTTATCCCTCTTGCTACCCTGAAGTACTGAATAGCCATACTAACCATTAGGACAGGTGGTTTTATGATTAAGGGCCTGGACAGGGATGCACAAAGATTGCAGTTCAGTTCCCAGCTTTACCACAGACTTCCTGTGTGACCCTGGGCAAGTCAATTGACTTCAGGGGAACTAAGTATGTTCTTACGTACCAAGCTGTGCTCCCTGTCTGTGAATAGGGATAATATTTCTTTTCTCAGACCCTTTGTCTAGTCTATTTAGATTGTAAATTCTTCTGGACATGCAGCGGTGTCTTACTTTCTACATGCATAGGCACCTAGCACAACAGAATCCTGATTTCAGTTGCAGTTACTACGTGCTACACTACTGTAATAATAATAAAGTATATAATGCTTCTGCTGCGTATCTACATGTTTCACATTAGGTTCTTGTAAAATCTTAATGGAATCTTAGCAGTTAAAAATATCTAAAATCTAAAACTCTGTTCATCTTGTGCAACTGAAATATCAGGATGTCTGCACAACAAAGAGTGAGTAATCTAAAAAAGTTATCATCACTAAGGCGGAAGAAGACTTCTTGAGAACTTTGAGACATACTATATGGTTACTGTACGTTTGAATTTCCACCCACTTGAAAAGTGCAGTTGTATTAGGAGTTTTGCTAAAACATGACACACAACTTTCATTGTAGATCTAAAGAGACAGATTTTAACATATTTTCAAAAATGATTAGATGATTTTTATTGCAGATACAAGAGGCATAGGTCACATTTTGGGCTTACCAGATGTGGCAAGATCCCTTCAAATGATAAGTAAAAATTCATGTGGTTGAAGAATAACATTCCACTTGAACTTTTTTTATTTGATGGGATACAAGATTCTGCTCTGATGTCATTGAGAGATCTACACCCAAAGGGGGAGAGCAGAATACCAGAGCACGGAACTGAGAGAACTTTATGCAGGGTGCAGTGATATAAAAAGTATGCACAGTTTAGTGGCTAGTTCTGCCATTAGATGCTACCAACTAGATGCATAGCCATTCTTAAATCTAATTTTAAACTGGGCAAGTGGAATTCTGTTTTGGGCTGTTTGCTCTTCAACAGAAGACTACTTCAATATTGCGATCAATTTTTGGTGTGAGGAAAGATGTGTGTCCATCTCTCACTTACTTCCTTTTAAAAATTATTTGGTCTTCTGATTTTCCCTTTACGGCCTAACTATCCCTATTTTCTGCCTCTCAAAGCCCTTTTTTCCAATCATGCTGCTTTATTTTCAGTTTTTTTCATATTCTCTTTTCTTTACTCGGCATATGATTTCAAGTATCAAAGGGGTAGCCGTGTTAGTCTGGATCTGTAAAAGCAGCAAAGAGTCCTGTGGCACCTTATAGACTAACGGAGTTATAGGAGCATGAGCTTTCGTGGGTGAATACCCACTTCTTCGGATGCATGGGAGTGATTTCATTTAGCTTTGACTTTAGGAAAATCTGATTGCTCCTGTCTTTACACTTTTGTTTCTTTTGAACTTCTTCTCTCCTCCTTTCCATGGGATATTTTTTAGACTCACTATGTGCGTAGGGGGTGGTAGCACTATCTCTTGTCTGTTCTGTCAGGTCTGCCCCAAGAATCGGCCCTCAGGCCGAAGGAGCAGAGATGGTTTCCCATTGGGACTCGTTTTCAGGCGGTCAATCCATCCTCCTCATCATATCCACTCATTATACTCCACACCCGAACATAGCCACTCTATGAACTTGATACCCTCATATCTCAATGCCTGTACTTTGACCCATCAACCTTTTACTCCCAATCGGGGATATTGCAGATTATGTATTCCTTATGCCACTTGATCTTAAGCCAAACTTTGCACCCTCGATAATCTGTACGTTATTCCCTGATAACCAGAAACTTCTATGCTCAAACTCTGTTCCCTTTTTTTTTCTAACATCATCTTAATAAAATTTTCGTGAGGGAGAAGCTCATCGACTTTCAGGGATTTGCCCTGGGCCAGTTTTGTCAATGAAACATCCAGAACCCTGCTGGCATTTGGGGCGGGCAATAGACCAACTGAGAAGCTGAGTGAGTGCACCACTAGTTGTCCATTGGGAATAGGGGTATAATTATTCACCCAGCTGCATGACTTGATACTGCCACTATGTCATGGAATAACCAGCTACCTGGCTTGGAAGGAAGGGGGTGTGGGGTGTCCCCATTGGTTTTGGGGGCACTGCATGATGCTGGGGGGGCTAGAAATTAAGACCCTACATTCCCCCTCTAGGTATTTTGAAATCCCCTCCCTGTCTCCCCAATCAGCCTGGGCCAGGCAGCTCCACAACCCTCCTCCCTCCCCTGTGTGTGCACACGCCTCTCTTCATTCCCGCCCGCCCGAGAGTGGAGTCTTTCTCCCTTCTGGCCACGCCCATCCGGGGCCCACTCCGCAGAGCGGGCCGTGAGTTTCTCTTCGCGCGCCCGACCGCACGCCGTGTATCTCCCCCTGGGGAGCGGGCTCGGAGTTTCTCTTTCCTTCACGCGCCCGACCGCTCCTTCCTCTCCGCGTCCGCCTCAAACGCGGCTCCTCCCCTCGAGCGGGAGATTGGATTGGAGCCGTTTGAACCCGACCGAGCGAGAGTCGGGCGGGCGCGTGGCCCGCTGAGGAGCGTGAGGTACCGAGGGGAAAGCCCCTCCCCCCCGCAGCGGTGGGGGTCACCTCAGCCACCCCTCCCCCATTGCCTGGGGGTCAGGCCCCAGCTCCCGGGGGCTAGTCCAGCCCCTTCGAGTCCCACCTCTCCGGGGACGTGGTGGGAGGGGCCCGGCCCCGAGTTAATGGGGTGATTTCCCCCCCCCCCCCCGCCCCGGGTTTGCCCGGGGGGGGGCTGGGCCCCGCGGGGGGGGGGGGGGGGGGGGGGTTCCCCCGTGTTAAGGGGGGGTTTTCCCCCCCCCCCCGCACCGGTATTGCCTGGGAGGGGGCTGTGCCCTGCAAGGGATGGCAGCATGGGGGGGTTACCCCGTGTTAATGGGGTGATTCTTCCCCCCTCCCCCAGCCAGCACCAGTATTGCCTGGGAGGGGGCTGTGCCCTGCAGGGGATGGGGGGGGGGTTACCCCATGTCAGACGGACTGCTGAGAGCACTGACCCTGCCTATGGGCTACCCCGTAGCTCTGCATTGGTTAATCAGGGCGCAAAGCTCACTCTGCATGAAATGATATTAATACTAGCTCTTATAATATGTTTGTCCGCTATATCTCAAAGCTGTTCGCAAAGTAAACAGCATTATCTCTGTTGTGCATTAGGGGAAACTGAGGCACGGAAGGGACTTGCCCAAGGCCTCACTGCGAGTCAGTGGCAGAGCTGAGGAAAAGGTACCGCTCTCCTCCTTCCCAGTGGTTCCATTTACAGTGGAAGATGCTGTTTTTATATGTTAAATGGTGTTTTTGCATGGGGAAAAAAATTGATCCTGATTCATAAGGGGAGGATTCTCACTGTGCAGGGCAGAGTTGCAGAGACCTGTGGAGAAGTGGAATTACAGATGCATGCTGACCCCATGGCACCCTTGGAAACTTTTTGTTAGTAGAATAAATGATTTCTTGAAGAAAAGTAACCTGTGTAAAGGCTAACAGTGGGCCATTGGATTTCAGAAAGACATTGAGAGCTCTGTTGAAGGCTGTTTTCAGGTTTTAAAATGTTCTGTTGCTTAGTGGGGAGAGACTTATTACTTACCTGTGAAATATTGTATAGGTATGATGTGAATTTTTCCTAGCCTCTTGCTTAAACTATGAAGTAACTTACTGCTGTGCTCTGAAAATAACTTACCACTGTTACATTCAGCAAATGCTACCCATTTGCTAAGACACATGATTTACAGCCTTTTAAAAAAATTAACTTAAAATAGAATACTATGTGCTGAATCTTGAATGACAAGGTAACATGGATTTGATTTAGCAGTAAGACAAATAAGGGCTAGTACCTTGTCTATGCAGCCACGCAGACCTGAACTGGATTCCCTTGTAGCTCGTTCTTTAAGACAGTAAGGGTTTGGAGAGCTGCAGCTTTGGTGCCCTCAGCCTGTGGGGAGATGGTACCTTACGTAATCTTACACTACAGTACTCATGTAACTTGTTTAAATACCCTTAACTTTAAAAGGCTTCTCTAGTCTGTTTCTAAACTAATATCAGTCTCCAGGCATTGGAAGGCATAACTGACAACTTTCCAGCTGCATGTTGGGCATTAGCAGGTGGTTCAAAAATGCCAAACTAAATTAAAGAGACAAGGTGGGTGAGTTATTATTTTTTTTTATTGGACCAACTTCTGTTGTTCTTCAGAAGAAGAAAACTTCAGAAGAAGTTGATCCAATAAAAGATATTACCTCACTCATCATGTCTCTCTAATATCCTCCAACACAGCTACACTACACTGCATAAACTAAATTAAATGTTGTCAAATCAATGTAAAGTTGGTATGTACGGAGAAGTACTTCTTACCATGTTAATCAGCGTGCTTTGTTGAGCAAATTGGGGCAGCTTCATTTTAATCTAAAAATTCTAGTTGCATGAGTAATATATTTATCCATGGGGCATGCCTAAAAGGATCACACTTCAAATAAGATACTAGATTATTTTCAGAGACCCTGTATATATAATTGTTTTATTTTAAAAAAAAATCTTAATTGCTTGTACAGTTGAACAATAAAAATCCTGTGTCTCTTAGCAACCTTTTATGTCTAATTGAGAAATAGCCAAACCGAGGGACTGATTCTTCAAGGCCTTACTCATAGGAGTAATCCTTACTCAGACAAGTAGTAAGAATTGCTCAAATTTTGAAGTTGATGGGGTGTCTGTTTGCAGTGAGGATTATGCATATGAGTAAGATATGGCAGGATCTAGCCTTTTCCGAGCATATGATAATGGATTCCGTTTCTTTATAAATACATGCCACTGCCTCTGGAGAGTTTGAGGGCGCCCACCAGTGTTGGTGCAAATGATGGAGGCTGATGATGGAGACTGGAAACCATATTAATTTTATATTCTTATTTTTCTTCTTTCTACACAGTACATTATTTCTAATCCTACATGAACACCAAAGCGACAAATAAATAGACAAAACTTAACAATAAAGGCCAGGTTTTGTCAACCTTATACTGAGTAGTACTGCCATTTGTCCTATTGTAATCAAGAGGGCTATTCACAGAGCAGTGTACAATTCCGTGGAAATGAGGTTGGCAGAATAAGGCTCTATATAAATAGATGACTTTGTAAACTGAACAACTGGAAAATAGCCTAGTGTTGGTATTTTCTTAACGTTGCTTTTAATTTGTTTCCCTGGCCACTTGGTGGTCCTATTTCATCACATTGTAACCTTAAGCAGAGGGAAAAGGATCTGACTTGACAAGTCAGATGTCTATTCTGCATATTAATATGTTTCTGTATTATTTCTACAGTATATTAACTTGTTCTCAAGATGGAAACACCATTGTTAGACAAATCAACATCACTGTGCAGTACTCCAAAGGACCGTGGGACACTAGCTCCTCAGAGCACTGGCTCAGGGAAAAAGGTATGAAAACCTTTTATATGCCATTCTATTAGTGAAGTTTTCCCATTGTAGCTAGGTATTGCAACACCAATGGTAAGCAAACTTTACTTGATGTTTGGCAGTCCATGAAATACTTTGGCAGAACATATGTGGGAACAGATAGTTTATGCCCAGAATTAAAATTAATGGGTAATGTTCTCTAAGAACACCTCTACCTCAATATAACGTTGTCCTCGGGAGCCAAAAAATCTTACCACGTTATAGGTGAAACCGCGTTATATCGAACTTGCTTTGATCCGACGGATTGCACAGCCCCACCCCTCCGGAGCACTGCTTTACTGCGTTATATCAGAATTCGTGTTATATCGGGTCGCGTTATATCGGGGTAGAGGTGTGTGTGTGTGCTTTGATTCTGACATGCATTAAATGCGGAACACCCTGAATGCTGAGCTAAGAAGTGAGAGAAACCTTTATAAAGATATTTCAGGACATTATTTAAACTCACTTTTTTTAATCCTTCCTCCCATCTGTACAAAAGACTCCAAGTCTCAGCTCTCTAGGCTCCAGCATATGCAGAATGTTGCTGCTGCTTCTGCCTATACACCTCTACCCCGATATAACGCTGTCCTCGGGAGCCAAAAAATCTTACCTTACCGTGTTATAGGTGAAACTGCGTTATATCGAACTTGCTTTGATCTGCCGGAGTGCGCAGCCCTGCCCCCCCCAGATCACTGCTTTACCGCGTTATATCCGAATTCGTGTTATATCTGGGTAGAGGTGTACTTTGACACATACAGAATAATGCAATCACATCGCCCTTGCTCCAGCCCACTCTTCCTGACCTTGCCCCCCTTTGCTCACTTAGCACTAGCTTAGTCTGTCACGTCACAGTCTTACCACAGTTATAACAGCATTATCCTTCGCTGCATCTGACAGCTTTCCTTGCTGACTTTCCCATCTGTTTTCAAATCACACCTGAAATCAAATTGGTGGTATTTAACTCTAAGTTTGGAGCACAGCTTGTATGGAAAACTCTATACAAAATGGAAATGCAATGTATTAGGTCTTATGATGTTCAGTTCTACATTGCCTATTCCTTCTCTGATGTAATGCCCCTGCATGCACCGTTTGGTGATGTTAAATTGACCATGGCACACATTAAAACAGGGGCCTGGCCAGCATAGGGTCAGATTGTGATAAGTGTCTTTTAACTATATTGTTTGGGTTTTCTCAAAATTTAAATATTTTATAAGGATATAAAATATTAGGCAAAGATCTTTAAGGATGACTAGTGATTTTTGAATTCAGTGACTTTGGGTTTTCAGAAAGTGCTGAGCATCCACCTTCTGAAATTAAGCCCTGTAATGTGCCTCAGATTGGTTACTCTAACACTGAAACACTCAAAACCATAACCACTCTAAAATGGTGGCCTTGGACTTTAAAAAGCAGTTTGGTATAGAAACAGCTCTTGGCCTCAGGCCTGACACTTATTTGATTCTTCTGATGACCATCTATGAGGTCCAGTGATGTTCAATGATTGATATAGTAGAAATAGTGGTACTGCTTGTTTCAGATGGAACAGAAATCTGAGGACTGGCTACCTGGAATAATCATTACAGCTGGAGAACTGCAACAGAGAGGAGGATGCCTATTATTTCTGGGGGAATGTCGGGCCAAAAAATTAAAAGCGTTGGGCCAAAAAGTTAAAAATTCTGTGCACAATATTTTAAAAATTCTGCATATTTTATTTGTCAAAATACACAATAACAGGGGAGGGACTGTTATGGAGTTGGGGAGCCTCCCCTGTGCAGACCCTGGCTGACCCCTACCCTCTCCCTTTCAGCTGGGCATATCTGCACATGTCCCCATGTATCCTTGCAAACCCACTCAGCCCCCCCCACTCCTCCCAGCCCCATATGGCTCTGCACCCCCACTCTCATTCAGCCCCTGGCACAGTGTTATCACCCCACTAGCCCTTCTGAACCCCAGTCTGTATAAACCCCTCCCCAGCAGCACCACTCTGTCTCCCTCATAATCCGTGTCTCCTCACCTGGCCTTGTGGGCAGGGTGCTGTGAGGAAGGCAGCCTCTGCCCCCTTCCTCTCCAGGGTTGGCTGCTCCAGCCTGTTAGCCAGCCGCCCTCTTTTCTGGCACCACATTAGCCCCTGTTGGGTGAAAGGTGTAATTGCAGCATGACCTCTCTTGCGGTTCCCTTTGCCTCCCCATCAGAATCAATTATTCTGCAGGAGGGAAAAAAATCTTCAGGGGACCTTAACTCTGTGCTTGCACAGTGGCGCAGAATTCCCCCAGGAGTATATTATGTTTGCATCAGTCAACTTAAATTACGTCAATTTAAATTAATTTAGTATGGTCCAATTCTGCTATCGTACACATGTTGAGTAGTACCTTACTGTGCAAGTAGTCCCATTTGGATTTTGAGTGCTTCTCAACTTGAGTCAGGGTGGCAAAATCAGGCTCATAATAAGAATATATGTCGAATTGATTTTTAAAGTAGTATTTAGACATATCTGTGTTTACATTCAGTCAGTGAGGCAGCTTTCTTTCCTGCAGAATAGACGCGCAAAAATGTTCCTAGTAGAAAACACTCGAAAACCGTTTCAAAGCTACTAGAAGCCAAATTCTATCATTTAATTTTTTTTTAGTACTTACAGATTTATGTTTTTTTCCCTTAAACAAAAAAAATAGGGGATCTGCCTTACAAATAACTTTGAAATGCTTGACTTGCAGTGCTGTCCAGTGGAGGAAAGGATTCCTTCAGTCCTACTTTGCATCATGAACTGGTCATGAAGGCAGAGGTTTAAAAAAAAAAAAAATTATTGGTTTTTACTTCCAGAAACTTATTAATTTACTTCTTTATAATTATATTTATAGTGATTGTACTATCTAATATATTACACTGTAGTTTTCCTTTAACTATTAATTTCCCTACATTTGGGAGTTCATGCTAGGCTTTGTATTTGGAAAGTACATCGCATATTGTGAGCAATATGTGAAACTAAAACGGGGGGGAAAAGGCTGTGCTATTGATCCAGTAGGTATCTTGAGTTCCCTCTAGTTTTGAAGTCTCCAGCAGTAGATTTCCATGCTGAGATTTTTTTACAGAGATGATAACATACTGACCTGTAACAGTTTCTAAATTTTGACAATTAGGATAGTTGTACTTCCTTTCTTAAAGAAAATTCTCCTGGAGTCATTGAATAAGGACAGCAGGTCCTGAGAGATGAAGTCAGGAAGATTGGAGCCACAACTTTTTCTTACGACTAGCTGCTGAGTGAGTGTGTGTAGGTATACATGTGAGAGGAGGAAGATAACTGCTCAGTCACATTTGTGAACTCTGTAGGGGTAATTGTGAAAATTTACATCATAGTGGGGTTTACATATACTGTAAAAATTGAACTGGTAAACTGACTACTTAGATTAAGGTCACTTCTGTTCTTACTTCTCCCAAATAGTTTATATTAGCAAAAATATTGTTTGACTTTTTTGTTTTGTTTTGTTCCTTTGTCATTTTATTTAGCCAATGAGCACAACACTTAAGGAGCGATTAAAGAAAGCAAGACGTTCATTTAATTCCAGTTTCACTGTGGCAAAACGCCTTAAAGTAGATATTGAAGAAAAAGATTACAGTACTTCTGAAGAAGGGGCTCTGTTGGCAAAAGAATCCTGTTCCAGATTACAAAATAGCTGTGAAATCCTGGAGAAGAACTGTGCTGCAAATACAAGTTTAAGTAGTCCTGTACAGGAGAGACATTGCTGCAGACTTGTTCAGAATTCCCCACACTCTGTGGTGTTTGGGGCTGACCTTAGTCAACAAGAACTACTTGAGGAAAAATTAAGATTGTTGAAGCAGGTCCAAGAGAAGAAAGAGCTGCTTCGAAGACTCAAACTGGTCAAGATGTACAGATCCAAGGTGAGAAGAGTTTCTGAATAGGCCACGCTATCTCAGCTCTAAATCTTTTCTCTTTTAATGTTTTTTGAAATGGGGACCAGGCAGGGGGGACCTAATTTCAGGGCAAATTTTGGTTCTGTAAAAAGACATTTTTATAAACTCCTAAAACCAGTAGAAATTAGAGCTAGTCAAAAAGCAGGGAAGAAAGTTGGTTGGTTTATTTATTTTTGTTTTCCTGTTTTAAATTTAATTTCAAAATTCAAAAAAATGTGACCAACTCTAATAGAAATGTTTCTGTGTGTTTTTAAATTCTATTGGAGAAATATTTTTTAAAACAAAAATATTCCTTGGTAATGTTTCAAGCCTAAAGATTGCAGCATTGGACTAATATATGAGAACCTGAAATTGAAACTGATGAGAAACCAAAATGAAAGACTATACTGTTTTCATCATCCAAATTAAAAGAAATGCAATAAAAAATAATGCATAATAATGTAGCTCTTTAAAAATGACTTTTAAACTGGATGTGTATTTCAAATACATCTTTAACTGTTCTTGACCTCTGTCTTTTATTGTGAAAAGTGTTTGCACTTGACTGGGAGACTACCAATTCTTATGTCTTGTCTACACTAGACAAAATCGGATGTATAATTTGCCAACAGTACAGCTCTACTAAAAGAAAACCACAGAAGCTGTAGTGTAGACAAGACACAGGCCTTTTTTTCATCATGTTAGGTTCTTGGGTCTGAATGCTGCCAATGTTGATGCAGCCCTAGGTATTGCTGAAAACAGTGTTGATTCATGAGATAGCTCTTCTCTGTTTGATTACAACTTAATTTCCCATCATTGTTAGTGGATGTTGTACTGCTGAAAGTGCAGAGATCCTATATGTAGATGATAAAGATCCATGCAACTTTTTGTAGAAGATGAGGAGTCAAATTCTAATTCAATTGCATTCTTCATACCTAAGCTTCCACTGTAGTTTTAAGTGGGTGGGCTGTTTTTCCCACTTCCTGTCCTGGACAGCACCACTACAGAAGTAATTGTTGCATTCCACCCCAGAGGAGGCAGAAATTCTCTCTGCATATAGTTTTTTATTGTAATTGTTTTGGGGCTCTTTCAGTTAATTAAGTTATATAAATATCTGTAAAGTTCCAAACATTGTTTTTCTATAATTTCTGCAACTCCGTAAGTAACCTTTCTCCCTCCCCCCTCCCCATTTCAGAATAACCCATCAGAATTGCAATCTTTGATAACGAAATGGAGATGCAGCACCCAGTTGATGCTTTATGAACTCCAGTCAGCTTTGTCTACAGATGGCAATAAACTGAGCCTCACTCTGTTGATAGACAATTTTGGATTAGAAGACAAGTTACTACACTACAGCAGAACAGAAGAAGACTTTACAGATATGTAATTTACAATTACAAAGTTTTCGGTTATAAAAAAAATAGTCTTCGGAAAAGATTAAATATAAACTGATTGCATCATAACTATTAAACCATCATGATAGTTTGTTTCAGTAGTGGATTGTTGTAATAGACTGTGCTTATGTATATGCTGTAAGAGGCAGTTATTTTCTGGAAAGGATTATCTCTTAGGCAGAAACTTACTCATTGAGAAAATTGCCATTAGTGGATGTGAAAATGAAATCTAGTAATATTGTACTTAAACAGTGGGCTGCATCTTCTCTGATCAGTTTTACACTGTACATTCTCTTGTTTGATATAATGGGATCAACTTAACTGTTTTTTCTAGTTATACTAAGATGTTGAGGAATTCAACACATACATATTCTGAAAGTTTCTTCAATTTGCCAGTCAATTGCTGTGAGCTTTCTAAGGATTAAGTTCAGGTGTAAACACATTGCATATTCTCAATTACTGAAGCAATATTGAGTTTTTGTACATGGCTTTATTTCTTGTGATACTAGAAGCAATACATATTCTGTGGTGCTTAACAAAAACAGAACTGTGTCTAATGTATTTAAATGGCTGCATTTAATTTACCTTTCTGCAATTATTCTTCTTAAATCCCAAAGCCATTTTCCCCTTTTTACGTCTTACGTTTTAGTTCTAATTTGTGGTATTTTATTATGTTAATTAGAGATTGTGGGAGAGAAGTTGATTCCCTGTTGACTATCTCCTCCTTGACCATCCATTTATTTTAGCTGCTTCTTTCCTCACTGAATTTCTTATTTTTTACTTTGAAACACACTTCATCTAATTTTAAATTTATAAGAACCCCAACTGCCCCACACACCTCCAGAATGCACCAATTCATTGTACACGTACAGATTCCTAATCTGCTGTAACTTTGTTTTATTGTACATGTGACAATTTATACTCCCTTCCTCAACACTAAGACACTTCTGATGTACCTGCAGGGAAATCAGGAAAAATCTGAGTTTAGAAGTAGTATATTTTCGTTTTGCTGTTCCAGATTACCACACTCCTGTCTATCAGGTGACACGAGACCTAAATTCTGCAGCAAAGCCCTCTTGGGTGGAAGGTATAGGGTGAATTTTACTGCTAACTAGGAATTTATATAAGAAGTGTTTATTATTAAATCATTTTGATAATCTGTGTGGTTACTAAGATGAAGAAGGGGCTGATACAGTGGCTTGGGTGAGAAGATGGGGCATCCAGAAGGGAGTAGCTGCTCTCCCAGGGCTCTTCGGTTCTGCTAGATTGGAATTCAACCCCTGCCTCCTGATGAGGATTTGGTACGAGGTAAGAAATCTGGGAAGAACCATGGAGGGGTAATTAGACTAATTATGAATCATAGTTAAAATGATAAAGCAATAAACAGAAGTCAAATCTAGAAGGAGGCAATAACAGCAATCAAGAAGTTTTGATAACTGTAGTATTTGCTAAACAAAAGTATTAATGCTGTTAGTGATGTCACCTTGGAATGGGGCTCTGACTTAAGGCATATTTCCTAGGAAAGATGAAAGAAGAAACAATTTAGAACAGGTGCAGGGGAAATTGTAATGGCAGGAAATTCCTGTGCAGGTCCATCTTAGACCACATGGTAGAATTTACTGAAGGTTCCTCTTTTCTTTATCCGCTTCCCATCTCTTTCGGGAGAGAAGTGGTATGAGAAGAAATCTTATGCCAACACATCTGAAGTTGGACTCCACTAGTGGGGCATATAGTAAGAACTGTTTAAGAAGAGTCCAGTAGGGTAGCTCTAATAAGGTTTATTTAATCTAAGGACTGTTAAATTTTTTTCTTTTAAATACAGTGAAGTGGAATAAAATTTAAGAGCAGAAATAAGATGAAACTAATAATGATTTAAAAATGAAAAGTTGTTCAACTCTTTAGGATTCAAAAATATTAACAGTGGGTATAGGCTTAAATTGTATCTTCCAGAATTTAAAACTGTTTTGAATACCAGTTCATACTTCACTTACCAAGCCTTCCAAGTTCAGAATTGTGTATCATGTCAATTAGAGCAATTGAAAAAACAGACACGTAAAAACAGTGCTGAGAGCATTTTCCTGTGATGTTAACCGACGTTGATCTGTTCAGTGTACGATGGCATCAACTAATGAGATAAAATATGGGATCCTGAACTCAAGACTTGGGAGTTAAATGAAGCAGGAGCGTTGTGGGTTTTTTTTTTTTTTTTTTAAATTATATAATCAAGGTAAAGGGCACCTAATGCTGCTGTCATCATGGTATCATGAAGCAATGATGACGAACTGTTTTATTTTAAATCAGTATATTTGTGGTTTCATTTAACACACATACTAGTAATTGATTTTTAACAAAACTATTTTTAGTTATACTACTTGGCAATTTTTTTCCTAAGTAAATACAATTCAGCGTTTTCTGAATTGCTTCCATTCTTCGGCATCATAGGAACATGCATTGCAGACCACAGAATACACAAGGTGACTGTTTTGTTCAAAATATCTATTTCTATAGTAATAAACACGCGTCTATCATTAAGCTATGAAATCATAAATTGCAGTTTTACAACAGGCACACCAAAATTGGGTAGAAACGGTACAAAATAGCTTTCATACTCAGTCTAGTAAAATATTTTAGAAGAGTAAATGAAGAAATCAATTCTTTTGTAGAGAGATGTATCTACGGTAAGCAAAGGAGATAAGCAATGATGAACTCGTATGTGTCTATGTTGGTGGAAGTAACCTTCTGCTAATATTCCATTTCAAAAAGGGCGGGAAATGTTCTCATTCTCAGCCTTTCAACTTCTGCCTGAAGAACTGAAATCTCTTCGGCCTGTTCTTTTGCAAGATCCACTAGCTGTCGTCGCTGCACAATATCCTGGTAATGCTCCTTTGCGGCTTTTTCAGAAACCAGCTGTGTGTCTGTGCAAAGCAAAATATCAGAAATAGTTCATATCAGAGAAAATATCTATTGTTGTAGGCCCTGCCCCAGGGCCTATCTTATTTCAGTGACAAGGCTAGACTTTAAAAAGAGCTCACACTTGGGGACAAATTTTTGCTCTTGCAATATATGGCTACTTCTGTTTTGCCCAGGCACAAATGGTGAGAGGAGGAGGGATGAATTTATTTTTTAGAGAGGACAAAGGCATTGTACCAAAGTCTCTGCTGATGCAAATGGGAATAGTTTTATGACTTCAATGGAGTTTCACTAACTTATACTAGCAACAGTTAATTAACTTGGGTTACAACAAGAGCAAAAATCTCAAGTCTAGACATATCCTTAGTGTCTGATGGATATTGAAATTGCTCTCTTAGGCAGGGCAATACCATCTGTGTATATGTAACGTAACAAAAATCTGCTGCTGGCAGTGTTTTGTCCCGGTAGTGCTGCTGATGGAAAGAAGAACTGACCAGCTTTGGAGATGTATTTTATGAATGTCTTTTTTACGTGTGACCTAAAGCGTGCTACAGAATGTGACTCACCAGCTGCTTCAAAGATATGCCGCCTTTCTGAAACAGACACAAGCATTTCTTGCAGCTCCTGGCTGAGTTTGTAGTTTGCTTGTTCCTTTAGACAGATGCGCTTCTCCAGATCTTTAAATACTTTCTGATGGTTCTTCACATTCTTCTTGTGCAGCTGTCCATTTCCAGTTGAATAAAGCAAATATGCAACTTTATTAAAGCTGCTTGTGCCCGCCCACCCCCAAGAACTCAATAGGTACAACACATTTAGGATTTACCTTATCCATCACACCAAGCGTCTGCTCCATTACTGAAACCTGTTGGGTGATGCGGCTGTCATAGTTTAGTATGCGTAGGAACTGCAGAATAAAAAGAGAGAAATCAGATTACTAGGTATCTGAGTGTGTTTCAACCATTCCACGATCCTAGGTTGGCAGTCAAGCTATATAAAAGTTAGAAAAAACATTTGTTTTAATTTTGCATAGCACAAAGCATTTCTATAAACCATAAAATGAACATTTCTTAGATGCTGCTTGAGTACTTGAGAACATTCTATTCAAGCATTCATGTATTCATTTATTAGCATTGTTAACTCTAGTACACTCAGGGTAGGTCTACACTTACCCGGTAGTTCGGCGGCAAGCAAATCGAACTTCTGGGTTCAACTTATCGCGTCTTGTCTGTACGCGATAAGTCGAACCCGGAAGTGCTCGCCGTCAACTGCGGTACTCCAGCTCGACGAGAGGAGTACGCGAAGTCGACGGGGGAGCCTGCCTACCGCGTCTGGACGGAGGTAAGTTCGAACTAAGGTACTTCGAACTTCAGCTACGTTATTCACGTAGCTGAAGTTGCGTACCTTAGTTCGAATTGGGGGGTTAGTGTAGACCTGCCCTCAGTGTCTTAAGAGATTACAGCTTCTAACAACAGACACGCTTAAGAGTAGAGGTCTTAAAAGAAAGTCCAATGGTTTTGGTGACTAAGGCTCTGGAGGTTATGCTCTACATAGCAAAGGCACACTTTTACCATCCCTTCTCCCAGTGACAGAACCAGGCTGGCTAAGTCCATTTACATTGTATTAATTAGATGTGATATACTCCCCAAGCCATGTTCATGGGGGAGAATGCAAAATGTTTCTGCCTAATCTAGCTAGACAGAGACTGATGTCCCACAGAGCCCATAAGCATGGTTCTAACAGATGGTACCTTTTGAGAAGGTATGCTTTTTCTTTATGAAGTGACCCCCTTATAGTTCTGAATTTTGTTACTTTACTTTCACAGTATTTTTTCTAGATAATTTATTAAAATCTTTCTCTTGGAGACCCAATAGGTAGCATATTGTTTGCAAGGATCTTGTTGTCAGGTGGGAAACATAAAATAGTCTTAAATAACTCATGACTAATAGCAATCAGATGTTTGTAGATGACTTGTCCACTTCCTGGGTCAGGTAAGCCTTTTTGGGATCACCCAAACAAATAGCAACGCTCTGTTGGTGATTTTGCTGCAGGAACTTTCCAGCATACAGTCACCTTTTGGGTACCTGTTGGTTCTTTTATTGGCATCAGTCCTAAAAGTCCTCTTTTTGCACTTCTGAAATCAGAAAATTCAAAAGTGGCTGCTTTTTTTTTTTTTAAAGCACACTAATAATGTGATTTTCTGTGAGATACCAAATGGAGGCACTTCAGAACTTTCATTTAAGATCAAGAATGTGTTTTATTTAAAAATGAATTACGTAAGGCTGTAAAATCCTGATTCCTTGCTTTAAGTGCTAATATTGATACGCGGGAGTTTAGAACCAATTCTGCCCTCAGTTACACCTAGGCTTGACAGAATTTTTTTTTTTTTAAATAATTTTGACTATCAATATCTATTAGCCAAGATGGTGTCCCTAGCCTCTGCAAGAAGCTGGAAATAGGCAACAGGTGATGGATCACTTGATGATTGCCTGTTCTGTTCATTCTCTCTGGGGCACCTGGCATTGGCCACTGTCAAAGACAGGATACTGGGCTAGATGGACCTTTGGTCTGACCCAGTATGGCTGCTCTTATATTCTTAGGAAATTAAGTGGGGGGTTAGGGTAGCACTGATAGCAGTGCTGCAAGAGGCTCCTTGCATGGCTGAGGGGCCCAAGACACCCAAGTGAAGGGGAGGCTGTGGTCCCGGTCCAGCAGAACAGAGACCCCCAGCCAGGTCCAGGGGACAGTCCTGCATACTCCACTTAGGGTCCATACAGACAGCAAGTGTGAAAAATCTGCACAGGGACTGGGGGGTAATAGGAGCCTATATAAGAAAAAGACTCAAAAACTGGGACTGTCCCTATAAAATCGGGACATCTGGTCACCCTAACTCCACTGCTGAGTAATTGAGTGGGCCTGTGACAGCACAGCTGCAGAGGGCTCCCTGCATGGCCACGGGGCCAGTGACCGCAGAACCCTGTGAGGGGAGTCTGCACTTGCCGACTGTTATTGATGGATTTTTTTTTGAGAGTGGGGGTTCTCTTTCTGAGTCTCAGGTGAAATTGACATTTTCCACTGACTAATGATTTTAATCGTATCTTCCCAAGCCTAGTTACACCTGTACAACTCCAAAGACTTCAGAGTTACACAAATGTCAAAGCAAAATTTAGTCCTTAAGGTTAAATTGCTGTCCTAGCTTGGGCTAGGTTTCCCTGTAGATGTAGGACAATTGAAGAATACAAATAATGGTACAAACATGGACAGCAGCTTTTCTCCAGATAAAAATCTCAATTTCAGAGTTACTTACTAGCTGGCGATCTCTTGAAAGATGCAGATTTTGAATATCCCGAGCCCTCTGGTTTAGATCGTCCATCAGCATCTTCATTTTTTTATGTTCCCATTCCAGCTGAAATATCCCTTTAGAGAAGTCTTTACTTTCCACCATGCTAGCAATTTTCTTTTCTCCTTGAGCCTGAAAAAGAGATTAATTTTAGCATAATTTATAGATTATGGAATAATTTTTTGCTGTAACAGGATGGACAGGACTCCCAATTTCTAATTTCAGTAATTTTAATGTGCCACACTGCAATCCTTTTCAGAGGCTGGTGTCCAGACAGACTTCATGTCAAAAAAGCTAACAATGTTAGGAACCATCAGGAAAGGGATAGATAAGACAGAAAATATCATAATGCTACTATATAAATCCCTGGTATGCCCACACCTTGAATACTACATGCAGTTCTCGTTGCTCCATCTCAAAAACATACTAGAATTAGAAAAGGTACAGAGAAGGGGAACAATGACTAAGGGTATAGAACAGCTTCGTATGAGGAGAGATTAAAAAGTCTAGCACTTTTCAGCTTGGAAAAGAGATGAATAAGGGGGGATACGATCGAGGTCTGTAATATCATGAATGGTGTGGAGGAAATGAATAAGGAAGTGATATTTGTCCATCATATACTACAAGAACTGGGGTTCCCCAATGAAATTAATAGGCAGCAGGTTTAAAACAAAAAAAAGGAAGTACTTCTTCACACAATGCACAGTCAACCTGTGGAACTCATTGCCAGGGGATGTTGTGGAGGCCAAAACTCATAACTGGGTTAAAAAAAGAATTAGATAAGTTCCTGGAGGATAGGTCCATCAATGGCTATTAGCCAAGATGGTCAGGGATGCAACCCCATGCTCTGGGTGTCCCTAGCCTCTGAGTGCCAGAAGCTGGGAGTTGATGATGGGACGGATCACTTGATCGCTTTTGCGAACAGGGGCTGCTAACAGGGAGTTTCGCAAGGGAGTTCTCCAGGTGAAGGAGGAGCAATACAGC